CAGTAAGTGGCTGAAATAGTTAAATGGTATTTGTTGATGTAGTCATTAGGCAGATTTTACCTCGAGTATATGTTGGGCATCGTCAGAGAGTTTTTGGCTTTTTGTTCTCATCACACTGGCTGTGAATCATTGAGTGGCTCTGAGAGAGTCCTCCACACTACCCCTCAGTCACACCAGCAGGGAGGCTTCTTAACACCACTTGATTTACAGATTTATTTGTAGCTGTTTACCTTAAATTCACACACCATGATTAGTAGCAAGATTTTTCATTGTACTTGGTTGAGGATTCATTGTCAGACTGATTTCCTAAACTTTTACCAAAAGCCAGTTAGAGTTGTATGTTACTGACTTCTCATCCAGGCTTTAGGGTATATTTCAGTTAACTTAGGGATTCTTGCTCTAAATCAGTTACAATTTACATTAACTTAAATTACTGTTATTTTTTTAAGTAGAATTTTCCAGTACTAGAGGCACTTTTGCGCAAAGCAGCAGTGATAGTCTTCCCCAGACAGCTTCTTTAAAACAAAAGCCAGACAGATTTGACTGTTCTTCCAGACTCAGAATCGTCCTGAGAAAAGTTCCTGAACAGGATAAAATCTTAAAGTCACCTCTTGTCAAGGCCTTTTTATCCTTCAGAACTTTAATGTTTACGTGTACATGTTTCTGTTGGTGAGTTCAAACAGCGATGTCAGTAAGCCAGCGGGAACTTGCTTCACTGCCAAATGCTGGGAAGTTTAGTTGACCTCTTTGGCCCTTTTGCCAGCAGAAGCTGTTTACTTAGGTGAATGCTGGTGAGCAGCCTGGATTTTACTTTGTGTTAATACAATTCTAGTTAAGGGAAAATGTGGAACTTCTTATTTTGCCTTGTAATGGGAGCATTTTACACCTACTATGTACCCACAAAAAGAAAAACAAAAACCTGGCAGCACTTTGGTAAAATAGTGTCTTGTGGCCTGGCTTGTCCATTACTAACCACAGCATCTGCATGGGTCTCTCTCTGCGCCCCAGTTTCCTTACCTGTAAAAGAAAGAGAAACTGGCTGTTAGTGAAGAGAGTGAATCAAGATGTCTTTACTTCATCTAACATTTATCAAGTGTTGTGTTCTGTGCCACGCTGTGTTCGAGGTAATTGAGGTGAGTCCCACATGGAAGCAGTCAGTGCTGCAATGTGTGGATGGTACCACATTCCATGCAGGCAGACAGTGGTAGGGTGGTGATTCACTAGTCCGGACAGACCTTCCTTCTTTTGTCCAGGTCAGTCCCTACCATGTAGGTTATCTGTGTGTTTGAAAGGTTTCAGAGCCCCACATGTAATAATACTTACTTTACTTTTGGTAACACTTTGAATTTTTTAAATTATATAGCAAAAGCTACTATCAATTATGTTATGATTTTAAAATAATTTTAAGCTAGCTTACATTTGAGAGACACCTTTGTCATGTGTAAATCTTTATTCAGTTTCTGGATGATGCTTCTTGTCCTCCAGGGTTCTTAGACCAGCCCTTGGAGTAGCGTCATGGTCAGGGAACTGGGACTCTCACAAAGTCTTAAGATGTCACAGCAGAACAGGAGGAGGAGACTCGCTTTGGTGTGTTGATCAAGTTGCTATGAGGGTAATTCGCACATTTTGGGCTCCAAAACACTAACCTCCTATATAAGATAAAAGAATAGCTCAAAATAGGATTTCCCCCCATGTTTTCTTTCTAGGCATCATAAAGATTGCTATGTGAATATAATGTGTTTGTACAATCAGAATTGATATTTTTGGCTTGTGGTAAATGGGACTTGAATGCTTAATCTACTGTAGATAAATTTGCCTTAGAAAGTGGCCTAAATTTTTGTATTGTATTTGATGTTTAAGTCCCCCGATATCTTACCATTTTAATAAAGCTTACCTTGAAGTGGAGGAAAAATTGTGTCTGTTCTTGTCATTATTTGAACAACAACAAAAATCATTATTTGCTTTAAAACCTGTAGGCTTTAAGCGTATCCATGCTTGGACTAGCACATCTCCTCTTTCTCAACCAAAAAGATCAAAACGGTGCTATCCCAGTACCATCTGCCAAGGCAGTGGGAGGACTTCCAGCAAAGTGTGAGAAGGAAAGGAAAGTTTTCAGCTCTGAGGGGCAGACGCGGAGAGAACAAGCACTTGGAAAGCAGAGCGCCTGGGAGCTCCGGTGCTGCACCTGTGGCCCCTGAGGCGGCCCTCCCCTCCCCTCCTGGGTGTTGGGTGACACTGGTTGCACAGGGCCCGAGGTGTTCCCTCCACCTCGCAGATGCTCCACCTCGACTCGTGGGTGCAGCTTAATTTTGTGTCAGATCCTTTCTGATAATGTGTGGGTTATTTCAACTATGAGGCAAAGTTCAAATGGGCAGTTACATGTCAGTTTATGATATTTGCCGTTTTGGATATAAACATTAAATATTTCATACCTCGCCTATTGTACTTTTTTAGACTGAATCTGAAATTTAAAATATAGATGTTTATAAGCTATGAATCTTAAATATTGGGAGAAAGAAGGTTTCTGGAAAATGTACAGTATTCTCTGTTGAAGCCATTTTATTCCTTTTCTTAGTGTGAGAAATACACATTTATCAAGTATTACCATTTAGGAGTTGTTTTCATCAGACGGGGTACATTGATATAAATATTAATTTTTAACATTTGTAAGTTGAAGTCTGACTAACTTGTTTTTTCTCTGTGATTTCATAAGTCACCATTTATACGACCTGAAATATTTAATTTGAAGTACTGGTATATTTAAAGGTGCTAAAACTACATGCATGCATCTCTACCAGTGGCTCTCAACCCAGGCTCATTTTGCCCCCTCCCCCCCGAAAGGACATTTGGGAGTGTCCAGAGATATTTTTGAGTGTCACAACGTGCACTGCGGACTGGGTAGAGGCCAGGGGTGCTGTGTAGCGTCCTTCAGTGTGTAGAACAGCTCCCTTGGCAAAGACAGGGTGTGATCCATACCAGTAAATGGCTTTTTTTTTTTTTTTTTTTTGGAGTGAGAGCCTCTCTGTGTGGCCCAGGCTGGAGAGCAGTGACGTAACCTCAGCTCACGGCAACCTCCACCTCCCAGGTTCAAACAATTCTCCTGCCTCAGCCTACCGAGTAGCTGTGATTGCAGGTTTGCACCACCACACCCAGCTAATTTTTGTATTTTTATTTATTTATTTATTTATCTGGGACAGAGTTTCGCTCCTGTTACCCAGGCTGGAGTGCAATGGCGCGATCTCGGCTCACCGCAACCTCCGCCTCCTGGGTTCAGGCAATTCTCCTGCCTCAGCTTCCTGAGTAGCTGGGATTACAGGCACGCGCCACCATGCCCAGCTAATGTTTTGTATTTTTAGTAGAGACGGGGTTTCACCACGTTGATCAGGATGGTCTCGATCTCTTGACCTCGTGATCCACCTGCCTCGGCCTCCCAAAGTGCTGGGATTACAGGCTTGAGCCACCGCGCCCGGCCTAATTTTTGTATTTTTAGTAGAGATGGGGTTTCACCATGTTGGCCAGGCTGATCTTGAACTCCTGACATCAAGTGATCCACTCGCCTCAACCTCCCAGAGTGCTGGGATTACAGGTGTGAGCCACCATGCCCTGGCCAATAAATGTCTTTTCTAGTCAAGTGTATTGTTTTAAAAGCATAGTTTAGCCCACCTGGGGGGATTTCAAGGATGGGCACATAATCCTTCCATTTTGACACTTGATGATACATATTGTCCCTCATTTTCCTTCTTTAGTGGTCAGACATTATTGCAAGTACTTTTTTTGATAGATTTTTGCTCTTATTGCCCAGGCTGGAGTGCAGTAGTGGTATGATCTCAGCTAACTGCAACCTCCACCTCCTGGGTTCAAGAGATTCTCCTGCCTCAGCCTCCCGAGTAGCTGGGATTACAGGCACCTGCCACCACACCTAGCTAATTTTTTGTATTTTTAGTAGAGACAGGGTTTCACCGTGTTGGTTTCACTGATCTCAAACTCCTGACCTCAGGTGAGCCACCCACTTCAGCCTTCCTGAGTGCTGGGATTACAGGTATGAGCCACCATGCCTGAATGTGAGTACTACTTAAAGTCATTAGTCCCATAACTTGCATAGCAATCCACTGAAGAAATGATAGGTTAAATTTTATTACCTGTGAGTTTTGCAACATTGTCTTGTTTTTTTATTTTTTATTATTTAAACAATTTTATTTAGAGACGGGGTCTCGATAAATTGCTCAAGTTGGAGTGCAGTGGCTATTCACAGGCGCGATCCCACTACTGATCAGCACGGGAGTTTTGACCTGCTCCGTTTCTAACCTGGGCTGGTTCACCCCTCCTTAGTTAACCTGGTGGTCCCCTGCTCCCGGGAGGTCACCGTATTGATGCCGAACTTAGTGTGGACACCCGATCGGCATAGCACACTACAGCCCAGAACTCCTGGGCTCAAGCGATCCTCCCACCTCAGCCTCCCGAGTAGCTGGGACTACAGGCACACGCCACCGCGCCCGGCAACATTGTCTTGTTTTAAAGGAAGAAGTATGTTTGTGAAAATCTTTTATGCTTGTTGAAAGAGCAATTTTACATGGAAGAGTTTTTGCTGATGTGATTTTTTTTTTTTTTTTGGTAGTAGGAGCTTTAATAAAGTGCCTCTGCTAATACCCCTAACATGAGACCTACAATTTCATCCATCTTGAGTTCCTGTTTAAGGCCAAGAGCTTAAACTATTGCCCACTGAGAAAATAATACCAAGTGGTGATTTGACATATTGACTCTTACATTTCTTTTTTTTTTTTTTTTTTTTTTTTTTTGAGATGGAGTTTCGTTCTTGTTGCCCAGACTGGAGTGCAATGCACCATCTTGGCTCACTGCAACCTCCGCCTCCCAAGTTCAAGTGATTCTCCTGCCTTAGCCTCCTGAGTAGCTGGGGTTATAGGCACATGCCACCATGCCTGACTGATTTTTGTATTTTTAGCAGAGATGGGGTTTCACCATACTGGCCAGGCTGGTCTCAAACTCCTTACCTCAGGTGATCCACCCACCTTGCCCTCATTTGTTTTTTTTAAATGCCTACTTTTAGACAGAAAAGATAGGGAAATTAAACTGATAGAGGATATTTGTGCCTGTTGGGACATGCACATTCTAAAGCACTTTATGTTTTATTTAGTGACAAACAATAAAACCCATATTTTCTCCAGATTTTTATGCTAAATGTTTAAGTTCATATCTCAAAGGCTGACTTGGAAGTCCATTCAGTTGTAGTACTGTTTATAATTAATTCTTGAGTAATATAAGGCATTATCTCCACCACTTCCAAGAAGAGTTACTGAAATGCTAGGTTGGAAACAGCTTTTTGAAGCTACCTATAACATAAGAAACCAGCTTGGTATTAGGGATTTTTTAAATGTGGCTAAGTGCTTTGGATAAAGGGATGGTCAACAGTAAACCCGAAACTTTTTAAGGAACCCACAATGACCCTTACGTGACAGGTAAATTTGGGTTTTATTTTTATAATTTTTAGACTTAAAAAGCAACTGTCTGTTGTTCTGGGGGGTTCTGATACTGTGTTGATCCGCGATGTTACCATGCCAGGTTATGTTACAGTTTAAAACAAGTGCATGCCAGGGGCTTTAATAGCTGTGTAGATTGTTAGTCAGCATTCATGACACTGTCATTTCATCTAATTGTAACAGTTCTAGTTCCTGTCACGAAGCTCATCAAAGGGGACCCAGAGGAAGAGCATTTATGGTGTTCCGTAAATGTGCATGGTAGAAAGACTGTGCAGTCTTGGAATTTAGGGTGCAGGATGGGCATACGGGAAGTTGAGTGATGAGGGGAGAGAGACAGCAGAGTGGCTGTGGCAGCCTGTGCCTCTGGGGCCTGGCTCCACACCCAGGTGGAAGTAGGGCTGCCAACTGTGGTTCATGACAGACCCCAGAGCTGGGGGGTGGGCCAGCTGCAGGTAGCGCAGCAAGCCGTGATGCATTTCTTCTTGGCCCATAGTTGATAGTGATTCTGTGTCAGGTCTCATCGTGTGTTGGTCTGGAAGAAGGTGAAAAGGTTTGCGATTGATGGGAATTCACAGGATCTTTTCATCTTGGGGGTCTCAGCGTCTGCTCTATCAGCTAAGGCAGTCTACTCATAAAGAAAATTCGTTCAAAACTTTTGTTGAGTAAAAAGTAAAGCTGTAAGAGTTAAAAGACAAAGCACTTTTGCCATGAAACGCTCAGTCAGCTTTGGGCTTCAGTCAGTGGCACCTGTGACACATCTAGCTTTTTTCTCTGCTGCAGAGATAATTGGAAGGATAAAAATATTGATTGTCTTGTTTGAAAAAATATTGTTTATATTTGCCGGAGAGTGTATGCTTTATTATCTGTTCATTGAGTTCTATAGAACATACCAGCATTTCTCTCATAGCTGAGCTGTTTTAAATATTAAGGTAAAATATACAACGCAGGAAATTCTTCAAGAAAGGCCAATTATAGTGTAGCTGTTTAGAGATAATTCAAGATGATGAAATTACTTTAAATGCCACTTTGAACCCAGTTTAAGATGTGTGCCATATTTAGAAAGCCATTTCTAGGTTATTTAAGTAATATCCAGTTGAGTGTTAGAATACAGTTGGGAGTAATATGATGAATCTGTCAGACTTCTGAGCATCCCAGTGGATTACAGGTGGGAGCTTGCTTTCCAGTGTGTGAGGAGAGAAAAGACCTAATAATCCTAAAGGGAAACTGAAATGAAGTAAGATAGTTTATTAAGTAATAATGCATTTTTATTTGATAAAACTTTCTGGAAAATTAAACGGTCTTCCAAAATTTCTGATGCATTTCAAAAGTAAACCTTTTAGAAATAACATGCGTTATACTGGTGGGGCGGCTCATGCCTATAATCCCAGCACTTTGGGAGGCTGAGGCGGGCAGATCACTTGAGGTCAGGAGTTGGAGACCAGCCTGGCCAACATGGTGAAACCCTGTCTACTAAGAATACAAAGATTAGCAGGGTAGGGTGGTGGGTACCTGTAATACCAGCTACTTGGGAGGCTGAGATAGGAGAATCACTTGAACCCAGGATGCAGAGGTTGCGGTGAGCAGTGATCATGCCACTGCACTCTAGCTTGGGCGACAGAGCTAGACCCCATCTCAAATAAATAGATCAACAGCATGTGTTACTACATGTGTTAATTACATGTGTTAAGGCCTGGCATGGTGGTTCATGCCTGTAATTCCAGCACTTTGAGAGGCTGAGGCAGGCAGATCACTTGAGGTCAGGAGTTTGAGACCAGCCTGGCTAACATGGTGAAACCCCGTCTCTACTAAAAATGCAAAAATTAGCTAGGTGTGGTGGTGGATGCCTACAATCCCAGCTACTCAGGAGGCTGAGGCAGGAGAATCGCCTGAACCTGGGAGGCGGAGGTTGCAGTGAGCTGAGATCATGCCACTGCACTCCAGCAAAATGCAGTGGTGACAGAGCCAGCCTTCATCTCAAAAAAAAAATTACTTGTGTTACTATAATTCTGAACATATTTGCTTACATTCATATTAACTTTGGAGGGGGTTTTGGCTAATAGGCTATTTTTAAGTGTTCTTTATGGGTAATAATGATACCTGTTTACCTTTCTGAATTATTCATTTTTCTTGTTTTTCAGTTTTAGAAAGAGCGTTTTCGCTATATAAAGCACATTCGATAAAGGATATGGAGAATACCTTGCAGTTGGTGAGAAATATTATACCTCCTCTGTCTTCCACAAAGCACAAAGGGCAAGATGGAAGAATAGGCATAGTTGGAGGCTGTCAGGAGTAAGTAGCAGATGTGCACTGTTGGTGTTTAAGAAGTCAGTTGCTGTCTGCCTGGCTGTCTGCCTGCTTACCTGCCTGTCATTCATGCTGTCTAGTTTGACCTCAGTAATCATTTCCAAAGGTAGTCTGATAAGACACTGTATTTTTCGGTGATCCACTTTTTGATTAGGAAGCAATTCCAAGGAGCCCTGACTGAATTGTTCACTGGTATGTGTCAGTGTTAGGTTTTGCTTATAGTGGGGAATGGAGCCTATTTTTAACTGTTTCTGCTTTTCTGTATTTAACCGGACTTGATACCACAGCATGCTTTTTGTGTTTAGGATAGAAACCCTCAGCAACCTCTTGGTTTTCTATGTCAAGTTAGAGATGTTACCGAAATTCACTTATGAAATTTGACAATCCCTAGCTTGCTTCTGTTCTGTTTTGCTGCCGTGTTTGGTACGTAACTGTTTATAAGTTGTCCTTGGGTGTGAAGGATACCTTCTGCTCTGATGGAAAGTCTACCGTGGCTCCTGTTTCTGTTTCTGCTTGCTTTCTGTTTGCATGTCTGTGGTATTTCTCTTTGCCCATCCCTCCGTTTTTAGCTGTTGATCATGTCATCAGGCGTATTAGAGGTATTACTGGATTAGGCACGTGTGCATTTTACATACTGGGGATGCTGCTGAATTGTCCCCCATTGCATTAGTGGTGCTGCCTCCCAGGAACACCTGTTCCCTGCACCCCTTGGAGGACAACCTTTGCTAGTCAAGTCGACAAACTTTCCTGTTGTTTTAATGCATTTCTCTTATTGATGAGGCTCATTTTCACATGATATAAGCATGTGTGCATGTATGTTGCCTGTTCTGTCCTTTTGCCTTTACAACACTTTCTGGTGACACTGCTTTGCAGAAGGCCATGTAAGATGATGTATCAGCATTTGCCCAGGTCTGTTTTTCTTGGGCTAGCAAAACATCTCACTGCTTGGAATGAACATAAAGATTGCATTTGCCCATTTCATGCCAGGATAAGGCTCTTCCTTTTTGTGCCTGAAGTGCCCTTAGACCTAGAGTGCCAGAGATGCCAGAAGAGTGAGGTAAAAGCAGCTGGGTGGTGTGTGCCATTTCTGTGTGTCCCAAGTGGCCCCCATCTGGCCTCTACTGACTGACTCTTGGAGGATGGGGTCTGCCTGCTCCGGGACCCTATCCATGCCCGACTGCTTCGAACATGTGATTGTATCTTTCTTCTCTCCGGGCAGAAGCCTGCAATCAGCTCCTTACCTTGAACGTTCACATTGCAGAGAGACTGCAGGCAGTACAGCCAGAGATTCACTCTCCTGAAGTGCATGAAGGTTTTATGTAAAAAATCGACATTTCTAGTGTAATCGGCTCATGTTCATTGAACATTTACAAGGATCTTGTAGGTGTTGGGTTTGTGAATATGTGCTTCATGTCTCTGTTGTGTATTGATAAATCACGTCTGTATTTATGTCTGTTTTTTATTGATAACCTATTTCTTGATCAAGGTGTGCTTATCTTATTCTCAGAAGAATATTTAGACTCTAAATATCTTCTTTTTAGGTACACTGGAGCCCCATATTTTGCAGCAATCTCAGCTCTCAAAGTGGTATGTTTACTTAAAAGTTCTTTATTGGGATGTTTCTGGTAAAGATTTTGATAATTTAAATATGATTAAAGCAAATGTTTTCTGATAGAAATCTAAATAACATCTTAGGGTAATCATGGGTCATGGAAACACCTTTAAGTCTATCCTGACATCCTGTGCAGTAACAAGATCACTTCAATGAAGCCCATTTTTAGTGATTTGTATTGTACTCACCAAAGTGAACCTGGGATGCCTTTGTAGGTCCCAGCTGAAGCATGGATCCTGCAGTTTCCCACACATTGAGCTAGTGCTAGCAGCCGGCCTTTTCCTGTGACCCTTCCTCCTGGAGGGTGGCCAGGCCGATCTGGGCTGTGCTGGTGTGTATGGCCCTGACTCTCCTTCTGCAGTGGTGGCAGAAGTCTGCCTTTCTTTCCAAGCATTGTGCTGTGTGCCCTAGCCCTTTGCTAAGCCACCTGGCCGGGTGTAACTCGGCGACTAGTCCGTTTCTTGCGCATGTTACCAGGCCTGAATAACGAGCACAGGATGCCCATGTCTGGCAGGTGGGCAGCGATGCTGGGGCCCTCTGGGGCCCGTGGATCGGGTCCCTGAGTCCGCCTCTTGTGCTCCTTCCGCAGGGCGCGGATTTGTCGCATGTGTTCTGCGCCAGCACAGCTGCGCCTGTGATTAAGGCGTACAGCCCGGAGCTGATCGTCCACCCCGTTCTGTGAGTTGCTCTGCACCAGCTTCTCCTGGGTTCTCTTTCCCTCCTGTGTCACTTGGGAGTTTTGCACTAACACCGAGAGCATCTGACGGATTTTCCGTCCTCGGAGTTCATCAGCAGGTGCTGTAGAGGAAGTAGGGCAATGAAGGAGCCCATTATTCTGTGGTCAGAATAAGACAAACACGGTGGGGTGAGAGGTGGTGGGAGGGGACTTGGGCCTGTGGGAAATGGCCGGCCCCAGGTCCAGAGGCAGTGGGGCCTTGTGGGCTGTGTGTGACAGGTTTGCAGAAGGCAGAAGCAAGGGACCTCTGAGCAGTAACAAGACCCTTCGCGTACTCAGCAGATGTCTGGTGCCAGGTCCTAGTCTTCGTTCTGTGGGTCAGCATCGAACTGGGCAGGCAAACACCTGCCCCCGTGGGACGCCCCCAGGCAGCTGTGCTGTAGAGCTTGCTGTGTGGAGGTGTTCTCTCTGCCATCTACGACTGTGGCCACTGAGTGCTTGAAATGTAGCTGGGGGACACAGAAGTGGAGCTTTTGCTCTTGTTTAATTTTAATCAGGTGTGTGTGCTAGCACCGCCTGGATTGGGCTGTGCCGCTCTGGAGACGGACAAAGGAGAGCAGCACATCAGGTGGTGAAGGAGGCGCAGAGAGCAGCAGCAGGGAGAGGGCAGTGAGAGCTGCAGCAGGGAGGGGGCAGTGAGAGAGCTGCAGC